GATGTTGTCTGCATGCCAGCAAACACCGGGACCATACGCTGCCATGCTTTGTTATGCAATGATTCCAGACTACGTGCTACTGGCCTGGCGTGGTAAAGTGTCCTACCATGGCGGACGGGATAAGGCAGCCCTCCCCAGAAACCTTTTGCAAAGGCTTTGGGATTACATGAAGGAGAGCTTTCTGGAGATGTCCCTGGAGGATTTCCGCTCCATCCCCATACACGTTAACAGACTTTTCCATTAGCTGTACTGGCCGCGATTGCCAGGGCAAATTAATCATTAATCATTAAACACGCTTGTTTTTAAACCATGTGTAATATTTACAAAGGTACACTCACCAGAGGTCCCCTGTGTGCCCTCAGGGTCTTGGGTCAGTTCGGGGGTTACTGTTTCCAGGTCCAGGGTGACAAACATATCCTGGCTGTTGGGGTAACTGGTTTCTCCGCTTCCTTGCTGCTGTGAGCTATCTATGTTCTCTCCATCCTCATCTTCCTCGTCCGCCGAACCCGCTTCCCCGTTTGCAGAGAGGGACTCATAGAACACGCTTGGGCTAGTGGTGGCTGCACCCCCTAGAATGGCATGCAGCTCCGCGTAGTAGCGGCATGTTTGCGGCTCTGCCCCGGACCTTCCGTTTGCGTCTCTGACTTTGTGGTAGGCTTGCCTTAGCTCCTTAATTTTCACGCGGCACTGCCGCGCGTCCCTGTTATGGCCTCTGTCCTTCATGGCCTTGGAGATCTTTTCTAATGTTTTGCCGTTTCTTTTACTGTTTCGGAGTTCGGCGAGCACTGCTTCATCTCCCCAGATGGCGATCAGATCCTGTACCTCCCGTTCGGTCCAGGCTGGAGCTCTTCTGCGATCCTGGGACTGGGACTGGGACTCCATCATGGTTACCTGTGCTGATGAGCTCTGCATGGTCACCTGTGCTCTCCACGCTGAGCAAACAGGAAATGAAATTCAAACGTTCGCGGGGCTTTTCCTGTCTACCTGGCCAGTGCATCTGAGATGAGAGTGCTGTCCAGAGCGGTCACAATGAAGCACTGTGGGATAGCTCCCGGAGGCCAGTAATGTCGAATTCCGTCCACACTAACCCAATTCCGGCCCCCTAAGGTCGATTTTATCGCTAATCCCCTTGTCGAGGTGGTGTTAGGAAACCGGTTTAAAGGGCCCTTTAAGTCGACAGAAAGGGCTTCGTAGTGTAAACGTGTCCAGGCTTAAGTCGATTTAACGCTGCTAAAGTCGACCTAAACTCGTAGTGTAGACCAGGCCTGAGGGACCCGCCGCCGAAGACCCGGACGTGCCGCCCCTTTCCATTGGCCGCCGCAAGCACCTGTGTCCTTCACTGGTGCCTGCAGCCGGTCCTGGCTGCCACTCAGGCCCAGGTTTTCAAGTCTGAACTCCAGAGGGGGAAGCTAACTAAGCAATGGATCACTTGGAGAGGGATGCTGATCATTTGATGAGGCTGATTAGAGGATCACTGAACAAAGGGGACAGGAGGTTATAAAAGAGAGGGTCTTTCACCATTTTGAGAGCACGAGTGGAAGGGCATTGACTATAGGGTCAGAGTGAGAGACTCCGTCATTCAGAGGAGAAGCGATGAACTGGGGGAAAAGGATCCTAGACACCCGACAGGACTCTGATCTAAGCCCAAAGAGTGCTCACAAGAAGAGTGGTGAGGAAACTGAGGTTGGGAAACGCATGTAGGCATCTCTTCTTTTTGTCTGGACCTGTTTGTTTATTTATTTTTTGTACTATCTAAAGTAAAGAGTAATTGTGTTCAGAACCTCTGCAAAGCCCACGTGTGGGCCTGTTTGCTTTACCTCTCATGGGCCCCTGAAGAGTTAAATTGCAAAGTGCCCATACAGTTGGAGCCTGAGGAGAGGGTGTGCTCAAGCTACTGGGGAATCTAAGGGGTCAGCACTGGTCCTGGGGCAGGGCTGATGAGAGGGGGAGAAATAGGGGACAACTGTAGTGAGGCCCCAGTTCAGGCCCCCACCATGTCTATAATGTCTGTGTAAATACAGTGAAATGGGAGGGGAGGCACTGTGAACATGAGGTACTACAGTCTCAAATTTCTCTCAATGGGTCTGCCTGGGAGCCTAGAACAGCTGGGCTGTGGATCCCAATTTCCTTGAAGGGGTAACAGACAGAAAGCCTGTGCCTATGTGCCAGAGAAGCCAGGGGAAAGATAGTGCTGCAGTCTAAGGGAAGGTTAGGAGCGTGCTGGACTAGCGTATGGGACCCGAACAACAGCCTGGTGAGTGTCCACAAAGGGAGCTCTGCCAAGGCTGTGCATGCCAGTGGTCAAGCCATGCCAACAAGTTTAGTAGCTTTCACAGCCTCTGAAAACGTGGAGTACTATGTGACATAGGCAGCCAAATGCTTGTCTTCCCCCAGTTTGTGAATCGCTCTGAGGCTGAAGCAGGAGTTAGGCATCTGGATGCCTAGAGTGAGGCAGTAGGGTGCGTGCCCAAAGGCAGAAACATAGGCAGCTAGAGAACTGAAAACTTAGGTGCCAAGAGCATTTAGATACTGATGGGGATGAAAGGAGTTTTGTGGATAACAGTGGAGCCAAAACTGGGACTTTGGGATCTCAGTACCTTTGGGGAAGGGGGCTCAAGTCACTAACTGCTGAGTGTAAAAAATGGCCTAAATTCAGATGCAACGACCCCTTGTCAAATTCTCTTTCAGGCGCTAGCCTTTACGTTCTGGATCCAAGATTCCTGGGAATTGCTTCCTCCAGCAGCTCCTTCTCTTCTGTGCTCCGATTCGCTGTCAGCTGCACTTGTGTGCAGCTGTGTCTGGGAAACAGCAAACCCACTCTGTCCCCACACCCTCCTTTCATTCGAGCTCCCTATGCCTGATCTAGGCTCTGCGTTAGCAGAGAAGGCTCTGCTCATTCAGTTGTAGGGAAGCATGAGAGAGATATACAATGTTCCCAAAGATGGGGCTGGAGCTGCTGTCTTGCATATGCCTCATTCTCCATTTGGATGGCTGGTTTGAGACCTCCAGGCCCGGTTTGCTGAGCCTTGTGTACTCATTTATTTACACCAGTGCAAGGGAGATAGAAGAAGTCACTTTACATCCACTCTGCACTGGCGGAAATGACAACACAAAGGGCAGGGTAACAATGAAGGGACCCTAGAGCTGTTTATCATGGCATGTTTTTACAGCATTCCATCCACTCCCCCGCTGTCTGTTCTAGACCCTACCCCCTAAATCCAATTGTATGGTGCAGTGGAAGTAGTAGCTTCCCAGCTCTAATATAAATTGCTGCTGTTTGCTACATCCTCTTCCCTAAATTTCCTGCCCTGATCCTGCATCACCCAGTACCACCAGCAGCTTCCATTTTACTAGAGTTTTGTAGGATGAACAAACCCAGAGAGCAAGGACGTGCACGTAGTGTTTGGAAGAGAGTGTTTGCTCTTCAACTAGACACGCAGGCTGCCTCTACCTGCTGAACTAGCAACGCCACCCTGGTAACTCAGCAAACATGTACATGAATTTCAGCGTGCTAAGGAAATGATACACATACACCCTAGAGATGGGCTGGAGAAAAATTAAGTTTGAGTCAAACATTTCTAAAGGGAGGAAGTGTTCAGATTTGCAGCTTTGGTTGAGGCTCCTTTCTGATGCACACCAGTCAGGTTTCGGCAGTGGGGCTGCTCAGGGTGTGCATGCTTATATGGAACTGTGACATGCCTTTTCATTGGAAACATGCATGGAGTGAACAGGTGTCAGTCTGCTGAAAAATCAGGAGCTGGGGGATACATAAATGTAGGGGCAGATGGGTTATTATATGAACAGGGGACAGATGAGGAAAATGGCTTCAAGATGTTTCTTCACTCAGCTAACTTGTCTTGCCACCTTTAAACCCCTAACATTGTCATCCAAACAGAGAAGGATTCAATTATGGCAAACGAGTAGATAATAACCCTGTAGTCTATGTGCTCCAGCTCCCACTAGTCGATCTGCTGCTTACCACCCGGTGCACATCAGCTGTAGACTATATGGCATTGTCTTCATCAACTCTGCCCCAGAGTTGGAGACAGGATAATCAAGTGGGGCTACATCACTGGCCCAAATGCCTGAGACTGTGGAAGAAAGCTTCAAAATATGGTGCATCTCCTGTGATGCCAGCTGCTTAAGCACCAATTTTCTGGCAATCACATGTGCAGGGAGGTGGTGGGAAGCAGCATGAGGACAGGACAAGGAGAAGACTCAATGATTCTGAACCATCATCTGAATGATTCCCCACATCTGTCTAGATGCACAATTGCCCCTAGCAGCTTTGAAGCAGAGATGTCCTCTGCACTCACATATGAGGGGAGAGAGGAGGGATACATGGGTGGAAGTTTCCCTGAGTCCTGTTATCTCCACCCCAGAGGATGTTCTGCACTTGACCCAAACCAGGCTAGAAAAAGCCCAGCTCAGCCGGTGTGCTAGCTCCAGGATCGCTGAGCTATCTCCCTGACCTTTCCACACCCAGGGTTATGAGCCAGAGGAAAGCACCTTCCCCTGGCTAGGTCAGTTCACCTGGCTCCCCAGGGGCTGGTTCTACAGCTCCATGGTCTCCACCTGGCTTGGGCAAGGGCCCGCACCCAGCGCTCTCTGGGTGTCTCCCAAGGCAGCAAAGGAGCAGAGCCAGAGCCCCTGGGCAGCGCCCCCCAGCAGGGCTTGGCCTGCACAGATGGATTAAGGTTTCCTGGGGCCCTGGGCCAGAGCAGGGCACTGGGGCTTCTCCCGCCCCGCCCGCAAGGCGCTTCTGCCGGAGAGCGGGATCGGGGAGCTGGCGGCTTGTGTCGGCCACACGGTCTTGGGCGCTGGGCTGGAGCTTCCCCCCGGCGCGGGTACGTGCCCCGGGACCCTGCTCACCCGCGCCGGGGCGGAGCGGGGCCGGATCCCTGCCCCAGGGAAGGGGCCTCTCTCCCGGTGGGGGGCGCCCGGTTCCCTGATCCCTCCTCCCGCCCCTCCCCTGCGCTCTCCCCGCCTCTTCCCCACAGATCCGGCCGCGGCGCGGCTCCTGCCCGCACACCCAGCAGGCTGCGGCCGGGACCCGCTGGCGGGGGAGGGCAGCGAGCCGCGGGCACCGGAGCGGGGCTGCAGGACGAGCTGCGCCTTGGGCGGCGAGCGGGACTCGGTGGCGGCGGCTCCCCGCGTCCGGGGCTGGGAGTCGGGACGCCCCGATACCCTCTGGGGCTGCTGCGGGCTCCCTCCGCTAGACACAGCCGGGCTGGGGCCAGCTTCGTCGGCACCCCCCAGCAGTGAAGGGGGGAGGGAGTTTTGTACCAGCATCGCCTGCATCCCCCTCCAGCAGTGACCGGGGGGGTCTTGCACCAGTATCACCTGCACCCCCTAGCAGTGACTGGGGGAAAGTCTTGCACCAGCATCGCCTGCACCTCCCAGCAGCGACGGGGGGTCTTGCACCAGCATCGCCTGCACCCCCAAGCAGTGACGGGGGGTCTTGCACCAGCATCGCCTGCACCCCCTAGCAGTGACTGGGGGAAGGTCTTGCACCAGCATCGCCTGCACCCCCCAGCAGTGACGGGGGGTCTTGCACCAGCATCGCCTGCACCTCCCAGCAGCGACGTGAGAGGGGCAGGAACTAGCCTTGTCTACACACACCCCCAGCAGTGACGGGGGAGGGCTTGTGCCAGCATCGCCAGCAGTGGCGGGGGCTGGTTGCAGCATTCCTTTTCTTGCCTGCAGAAGCGGCCTGGGAGGTTGGTAGCAAAAGCACTTTGCCGCAGGTGGAGGATCTGGGTCTATAAGGGAACCAAGCTGGTGGAGTTTGGGGCTCTTCAGTTCCTGGCATCGCCAAGTGCTGCTCCGGATGTCAGATTTTCCACTGGGAGCATCGCTGCAGGGATCTGCCTGGCTTCTCCTGTACTTGCCTAACCCCTGTCTCTGACTGCCCCCCCCCCACGCAGAATGGCAGCCATCAAAAACTTGCAGCTGTGGTGCAAGCAGCAGTGTGAAGGCTACCGGGATGTCAGCATCACCAACATGACCACCTCTTTCCGGGACGGCCTGGCATTCTGTGCCATCCTTCATCGGCACAAACCAGACCTCATGTGAGTAACCGGGAGCTTCAGGCGCTCCTGCTCCGGTGTGTTGGTTCCTTCTAGTATCTGGCATTATGAGTTCTCCTGCATTAAATCCAAATTCTGTCTCCCATGTAAATCTGGTGGCCTGCTTGTAAATTATTTAGGTCGGAAACACTGAGGCGTCATGGAACTGAGGTTATAGAAATTGTTGCTCATTTTAAAGCAACTAAGAGTCATTTAAAACTTGACTGGAAAAAAACACCACAGAAAATCCTGGCAGGACCATGCACTGAATGACTTAATAGCCGCTTTAGGCTTCCCATGAACAATTATGTTTTTCAACACTCAGTACTGGATCTCTCTTCTGTTGCACAGGGGGTTTGGTTGGCTGGAGTGTTGGACAGGGAGCGGCAGGGATGTATTTCTGTGCTAGGTATCATGGCCTTTCACATGGAACTTCAGTGCCTAGTACCCACCTGAGTGCCACCTGGGCTGTTGGAAGAAATCAGGCTGTGAGTTAATTCTCTGTCCTGCCCTATTGCACAGGGGCAAGGGAGACTGGGTTGGCATGTGAGTCTGGGTCCCGAGGACCATGGCAACGGGGGAAGAGTCAGAGTGTAGTGTCCCGAAGCATTAACTGTGACTCAGGCTGCGCTTGAGCATTGTGGCCTTTACAGGGTGGGAGCGCTGTCCTGAATGCCATCTCTTTCAGCTCCTTGAGGTGCTCTCTGGTGCTAGCAGCTATTTTAGCTCAGTCCAGGTGTGTGATAAACTAAATGCCAAGTTTTGCCTAGCGCGGGAGTTTCAGTGTCTAGTTAATGGCAGTGCCTGGTCTTGTCCAGTTGGGCCTGCTGCCTCGTGTTCGGGGGGGGGGGCCTGTGTGGCTGGGGGCTTGCTGCATTAGAGTAATAGAATGCTCAAGCTGTATGCCCTGTTGGTCCCAGGCTACGAGGGAGACAAGGTAGGGGAGGTGATATTTTCTGTTGGTGAGGGAGACAAGCTTTCGAGCTTACAGAGAGCTCGTCTTCAGACGTGAAGCTGGTCTCTCTCACCAACAGAAGTTGGTCCAATAAAAGAGATCACCTCCCCCACCTTGTCTGTCTACAATGCTCAAGTGTAATGGATGGCACTGGGTCTCCCCTCCCTTCCCGCCCTGGTTAGATGGTGTCCTGCTTTGGCAGTCCTTTCACTGAATTAGTTGTGCTGTCCTGCAAGCAGAAAAGCTCCAAGCCAATGGCTTGTTTCTCCCCATACACACGCCTTTCTTCTCCTCCGCCCGCGGTGAAAGGCTGGGGCCGGGCTGTAAACAGTTAAAACACGTCCCTTCTGTTGCTAAACACGTTGAAACACCAGTTGGGAAATGTTTCCTTCTTTGCAGTGAATGTTTGTTTAGGCTCCACTTTCCATGCTGTGCCAAATGGCAATTTCATCAATTATTAGCTGGCCACTAAATGCTAGTTAAATAAAAACAACAACAACAAAAACCCGGGAATTTCCAGGCAGGATTCCATGCTGGGGAGCTTAAAGGAGCCACGCTGGAAGGAAACTACTCGTTCCATTGACTGCCTCTTCTCCCTCCCCCGTCCCACTGCCTCTTCCATGGAAACACAGGCTGAGGGGCTGCTTTTAGAAGAGCTCTTTGTCAACCCACAGTCAGCGCTCAGTAGCTGCCTGCTTGTCACCAATTGCTTGTTTGCCGATTTAGAGCCCAATGGTGTGAGGGAATGGGAGCCCTCAACTCCTAGTGACCTCATTATGCACCAAGGGCATCTCCAGGAGGCCAGGCTGCTCAGCCTGTCCCATAGGTTTTAGGTCTTGCCTTGCCCTGCTGCTGGTGGGGTCTGACTCAACCGCTGCGTTCTGAAAGGAAGTGCTGAATGCTGCCCCTGAAGTTGCGTTCTGGGTTCTTTTCACTGTGTAACTTTAGCTTGAAGGCTAGTAACACAAGAAGTGTGAGAACAACGCAGGGGGGCAGGGAGAGAATTTCTCTGTCCGGTTGATTGGAGTACTTGGGTCCTCTGTGGTAGGACGTGTCAGTCTGGCAAGGAATTAGGTTGTCTCTTCTATTCTGGGGCTCCTCTCCAATTCTTTGGACTGTGCCCTCCTGCCTAGGCTGTCCTGTGTGGTCTGTTCAGTTTTCTGTGGGGCAGCCTCTCTTACAGAAAGCAACAGAGGGTCCTGTGACACCTCTCTTACAGGTGTCTCACTTCTTGCTTAAACCGAAGAAAGTGGCCGTCTATCCCCTCTCACCTCTCTCCTGTGGCTGTGGGTTTCCTTGAACGTAGCCTCTTTAAAGCACGGAAGCAGTCACCCGCGAATGAATGGCTTGTTTGATCGGCGCGAGCAGCCACCCAGTCCAGGGCAGTCGTTCTGAAACTCGTTTCTCCTCCCTTATTTGATCAGGTGCCATTGCCTTGCTCTGTTTGCTTCTTGCCACGTCACCATGTTTACTTTCTTGGAGGTTCTCTGCAGGACTCTAAATGTTCCCCTGCTTGCCTTTAATCCAGAGTCAGTAACACAGTAAATGCCTGGGGCAGCGTGTTGTGTGGCCCTGGCTGGCCTTGTATTGAATGTGTGTCACGCCGTATCAAACATGGACGCTTGGGCAGGGGCTTGGCTACCTGAGCTCCAGGGAAATGTCCCTGTTGGCCAGTCCAGTGGGTGGGTATAATGCTTAGGCTGCATGTCTAGAGCAGGGGATAGACACACTTTTTAAATAAATCGCTCTCTTCGCTAGAGCTGCAAACACTTGTTGTGATTTCTCCCTGGTTTTTTGTTGTTGAATTCTGCCCCAGATCCTTTCAGGTGCAGCCGTGCTCAGACAGACACGTGCAGGTGAAATTATGACCAGGCCTTTGGGTCTGGTCTCCCAGTTCATGTTAACAATAGCAGAGTCACACAACAAAGCAGCTAGTGTACGATTGGCAGGTTGAGGTGCTGCTGGGTGGAGATGATCCCTTTACACGCTTGCTGTTGGAAGTTGCAGAGGAGGCCATGGGAAGTTCCAGTAGCTTGGATTTTCTTTTAAATTCCTGCGAATCTGTGAGCTCGGTACCCTTGCAACAGAGTTAATTTGTGTCTATAAATCAGGGATTGAGTGTTGATCTGGAAATCTGCAGGGATTGTTTTGCAACATTCTTCTCTTGGCTTAGGCAGATGATATTTTAGCTCTGGGGGCATGCTATGGAGAGGGTGTTTCTTGCTCCGGGAGGCATGGGGAGTAGCAGGAGACTTCAGGCAGTCAGCAAACTGCAATGTTGTTAAAGGTTTTCTATTCTGGGGTTTGCAGTCCATAGGTCAGGGGGGAGGCTGGTATCATGTCTTTTCCCTCTTCCTTTTTCCGGCCAGAAAACATGTGAAGGGAAGGATAACTTCTTCCAAATTTAGCTGAGGTCAGGCAGCAGTGGCAAGAGGTTCTATGCGCCCTGTGCACAGGGCAGCCTGCATACAACTAGAACTGCTTTCCCCACGTGCTCTAGGAGGCTAGGGCACGTTGGACTCTGTTAGGGAAGAAACCCAGGACTGAATGAATTTGGAACTAAATTCCCCTTTCACTCCAATAGATTAAGATTTCTTAAAATCCCGCATCCATAGTGCATACACCGCTCCAGGAAGGTTTGTGTCCATGGTGGGTGGGGAACGAATACAGAGCATTAATTTATTCTTCTCAGAAGAAGGTGACGCTTCCCAGCAGGGGGGATCCGAGATGTGAACTCTGCAGTGTTCTCACCTTGGCATCAGCTTGGGGGGTGTGTGTGTGATGTTGCTAGCCCTGTTAGTGGGTTTTGAGTCTGTACCGATCAGTGAGTCTGGAAAAGCAGAGAAACTGTGCTCTGTCGTTCGCTCTCTCTGGTATTAGTTCCAGATGTTTTAGGGACGTTTTGGTGGAAAGGTTTTGATTAAGCTCTGTCTTCTTTCCTTCCCTCTTCCCTGCTGCCCATGGGTGATATTCTTTCCTAGGTTGCTGACTGTTAATAGGTCAGCATATAGGAATTTAGAGGGGGTATGAAATCCCCTGGCAGGCTGGGTAGAGGTGGATGGCTGGAACTGGTGAGCTGTGAACAGTAGCTGTCTGCTCTTATTCTCTAGGAGACCTTAGCACGGTCGTTATTAGCTAGCTGGAATGAGAGCAGCAAGGCAAGATTGCTCTGTAGGGGACAGCAAGGCTTGGAGGCAGACAGGAATGGAGTGGGTAGGGCAAGGAGAGCCCAATCAGACTGCAGCAGCGAATTTGCATATAAATGCAGAGTCATAAAATTTGCTTGCTTTGTCT